CTGCTCCCCTCAGCAGTGTACTTCGTCGATCTGCCTGTTCTGCTCCCCACTCTGTCTCTGGTGAAGCCTCTCGCCGCCCCTGAGCCTCTGGCCTGGACCCCAGTTCCGTATGCACAAATAAATAAATCTTTAAAAAAAATAGCTGAAGTTTTCTGTTATCTGACAGTCTTTAACTTAAAGAACTGATTATTTTTTCTAAATTTGCAGATTGTCAGGGCTTGGAAGTTGAGCCTTTGACTATTTTATAAGCCTGGAAAGAAACCATCTATGATGACAGTGGTGGAAACTTCAGCAGTATTTGGGACTAAATATTTGTAGCTTTTTTTGTTTGTTTCTAGATATATTGAATACTAGGACTGATTAGGTTCTGTTCCTCCTCCTCCTCCTCCTCCTCCTCCGTTTCAAGTGCCCCTGAGCCACCTAGGTCTAGCATCTGCCCTGTTTGACAGCACAAATAAAGAGCATTCCCACCATCCCAGAAAGTCCCAAGGAGGACACACTCCTGTATCATTAATTCTGAGCTTATACAAATGCCAGATTTTCAGCCTGACAAAAAATCCTTCTCCTTCCAAGGAAATGCTTTTAACGTAGACTTTGTACCAGACTAGGGTGGGAGATCAAATAGTAAATGAAGCATCTGCATGTTCATTAAGAAAAAATTATGTTCTCATAACATTGCAGGCTCTTCTGTTAGAAGATAACATTAGAAGATAACCTAGTTCGATAGTCCTGAAGACCATATTCTGATGTATTGTTAAAGTTATAGTGGGTTAATGTAGAAATCATTTAATCCAATGGCTTTGCTTAAAGTATATGATCTATAGTATAGGTTAGAAATCCAAGCTGATAAATATCTACAATTACTAATTGTCACTTGGTCTGTGAATTCACATGTGTGATATAACAATGTGTTGAATTCAATTCCACATATATATTGAGCACCAATTATAGGTCAAGTGTATGCATAACAGACAGCTGAACTCCTATGAATGTCTTGTCCATGGCTTTTGCACATACTTTTTTTTTCTTAGGTATCTACCTAGGAGGGAAACTGTAGGACTGTGGAGTCCTCAACTTAATGACTCAGTTTAATGATTCTTTCCTTACCATCTCTGAAGTGTTAACCTTCAATTCCATTTCAGCAAGGAGGCTATCTCTTTGAAAGATTTTGAATGCCCTCATAGAAATACACTACATCTGATGCACAAGATTTCAATCCTATAACATGTGCCAATAACAAGTGGTTGCACCCTGAGCATGCTGAAGGACTCAGTCTTTCTTCTGTAACCCAACCACCAACCATACCCATCACCAGCCAGCTCACATACCTGGATTTAAGAGCAATTAATGAAATGCCAAATTATCCCCAACATCTGAAAAACAACTTCAGTTATGCTTCAAGGAGAGCCGGCTAGCAGCTTCAATTTCGCATGGTGGAAGCATGTTATTTTCACAGGCACTTGAGCAGGCTCTCCCACAGCTTAGCGTTCTGTCACCACGTCTTCCTGTGCGTGTTGATGCTTGGTGAGCAACGGTCTTTCTTGTGTTTTAAATCTTTAGATGTGATAATCGTTTTACCTTTCAGCTCATGAAACAGGAAAGGGGGCCAAGGAGAGAAAAAAAAAAAACCTCAAACTCATTTTTCCTGATATTGATGACAGTCTCTCAGAGGAAAGAGGAACTTCGAATTATTCACTAAGACAAAGGTGTGGCTTCTGGTTGTATGTTAGCAAGTTCAGCAAATCACTGGCTGAAATGACTGTTATGGGACAGGGTGCCTGCCTAAAGCCAGCTCTTAAGACTTCAGGAAGCATTTGACTGCAATGTAAATAAGTTCTAACATGCCATCTGCTGGGCAAAATCAATCTTCTGACAGGAGACATTTTCTAGTTTTCACTAATGAGAATGTTCAAACCCAGTGGGGGTTCTGATTTGGTCTATTGATAGGTGGGGAGGCTCTAAGAAAATTGTGCTGAAATTATATTTGCACAGCAAGTTTCGCTGTCCCTGGGATCTCACATTTACTCGGGAGTGCCTGAGAGAGGGAATGATCGTAAGCTAAAGACTCACCAAAAGCAGCAAAAACCTGAAGATCACAAATGACATAGATGACAGGTGTTCAAGGCCTATAGTGCCCGAGCCCAACTGGGGAACCTGCTTGGCTTTCCTATGTTCTTAGGGAATGCTGCCCCTTGTGTCTGTTGGCTACTGGAGAGATTGGGCAAACAGGTATGACAGTAAAGAACTGATGGCCTTCCACAAAGCGTGGGGGCTTTATGTCAGGTGACTCGGGCAAGCCTTCCCGAAGATGCCATTGAAATTTGGACTGAGTTAACGAGAAGGAGCCAGGAAGAGGGAGAGTGTTCCTGGCAGGAATTCACTCTTGGCAGAAAGCACTGGAGGAGGGGCATGCTGCTCCTGCCAGCTGCTAGGCAGTGTGAAAGCCCATGACTATGGCACCAGCAGCTAAGGAGCAGCCTTCACTTGACTGTCTTCCAGGGCCTAGTGGAGGCGCCTGAAAGTGGCAGGGTCCACTCACTACTGGATATGCAAAGAAGAGGCCTTAAAGCAAGATGGGACATGCAGCCAGGAGGAAGAGTGGGGGGTGGTTTGGAAGAAAGATGCCAGAGAGCATACTCTGTCAGAGAAAGGTACAGTCAGGGGCTTCAGATAGCCACGAAGCCCCACAGTGCGCCCTGCGTGGGGAACATGAGGAGACCCCTCCCAGGGCAGAGGACTGCTACCAGGGAGAGAGCATATTGCTTTCTAATTCCCGCTCTCCCCAACCCCTCTCTCATCTCCACATGAGCGAGAATGAAGTGTGGTGGGGTGGGTGGTGGGCAGGT